TGTCTCCGGTGTTCACAGACATCTTCAACACCTCCCTGGGGACATGCCACGTACCAGCCTGCTTCAAGGTCTCCACCATCATCCCCGTCCCCAAAAAACCTAGGATCACAGGACTTAACGACTACAGGCCCGTCGCCCTGACCTCTGTGGTCATGAAGTCTTTTGAACGCCTCGTCCTGTCCCACCTAAAAGGACCCCCTGCAGTTCGCTTACAGAGCCAACAGGTCTTAATTTCATCCTCCAGCATCTGGACTCCCCAGGAATCTACGCCAGGATCCTGTTTGTGGACTTCAGCTCTGCCTTCAACACCATCCCGTCTTTGCTGCACGACAAGCTCTCTCAGCTGCACGTGCCCGACTCCACCTGCAAGTGGATCACAGACTTCCTGTCTGACAGGAAGCAGCACGTCAAGCTGGGAAAGCACAGCTCAGCCTCTCGGACCATCAGCACCGGTTCCCCCCAAGGCTGCGCTCTTTCCCCTCTGCTCTTCTCCCTGTACACCAACAGCTGCACCTCGAGTCACCAGTCCGTCAAGCTCCTGAAGTTCGCAGATGACACCACCCTCATTGGACTCATCTCTGGTGGGGATGAGTCCGCCTACAGGTGGGAGACTGACCATCTGGTGACCTGGTGCGGGTTGAACAACTTAGAGCTCAATGCTCTAAAGACAGTGATGGTTGTGGATTTCCGGAAGAATGCAGCCCCAATCACCCTGTGCGACTCCCCCGTCGACGCGGTGGAGTCCTTCCGCTTCCTGGGCTCCATCATATCCCAGGACCTCAAGTAGGAGCTTAACATCAGCTCCATCACAAAGAAGGCCCAGCAGAGGATGTACTTCCTGAGGCAGCTGAAGAAATTCAACCTGCCAAAGACAATGATGGTGCATTTCTACACAGCCATCATTGAGTCCATCCTCTGCTCCTCCATCACAGTCTGGTACGCTGCAGCCACTGCCAAGGACAAGGGCAGGCTGCAACGCATCATTCACTCTGCCGAGAGGGTGATTGGCTGCAATCTGCCGTCCCTCCAGGACTTGTTCACTTTAAGAAGGATTGTAGCTGACCCCTCTCATCCTGGACAAAAACTGTTTGTGCCCCTTCCATCTGGTAGGAGGCTGAGGTCCATCAGGACCAAGACCTCACGACACATGAACAGTTTTTTCCCCTCGGCAGTCGGGCTCATTAACAGAGCCCGGGACCCCCACTGACTCTGTCATCCCCAGGACAAATTTCTACCGGTCACTCCCCTGCACATCCCTTCTATTACACTCGACACTTTTACACTACACTTACATCTCACTTGTTTATAGTCCTGTTATCTGTTCATTTGTGCACTTTATTTTATATTTTACTTTATTTTATATTTTCTGTAAATTTAATATGTTTCTACTTTGCACTGTTAATGTTGTTGATTGTTGTTAAATGTTATGCACCTCCCGTCATGTCAAATTCCTTGTATGTTCAACATACCATGGCAATAAACGGTTCTGATTCTGATATAAGGGCGAAAAAACCCGCAGGTTGCATTACAGGAAAAACTCCCTTATGGTCCTTCCCCGCCGAGCGACCACCTTTTTGGTATGAAGTGAACCTGTTCTTGCTCACAAACATGTACTAACTGATACATCACACATTTTAGTTTCTCCAAAATATTGAACAATATATCGGTATTCATTAGATGCAATGTCTATGATAAAACTATACACTATAATACTTGTACACAGACTATATGAATCATGACTGAATCGTGACTTTGGATATATGTGAATGTAGAAATATCAGATTATAATACATTCAATTTATAGTGAAACAGTTTGGACAGATAATAAAACATGTGACATGGTGTTTTTTGGACGTGTATGTACTTTCAACAAAGTTCAGGCTCTCGTTTTTATGCTGAGATGCCTCCTAGTCCTGTTTCCTCCATGTCATCGGAGTCCTCCAGATAGTCCGGAATGGGAAACAGGTCCGGAAACAGGTCCGGTCGTCCAACCACCATTTGAGCGAACTGGGCCTTTGTCCCTCGCTCAATCGTCATCATGTTCATCATCTGAGCCAGTTGGAGATTTGCCATGACACCCATCTGTTTGTCCATGCTCCTCTGGCACTGTCTCCTCAGGATGGGTACGATGCAACATGCCAATAGAAAAGCCACAATTAAAACTATTAATGCGCTAATGCCTGCTTTTACCAATACGGACCCCCATTTTCCCAAAAGTTGGTCTAACCAATCCCATGACCACCCCCCTCTTGCCAGCATTGTCCTTAACCTCCTGTCTCAAACCCCAAATTTTCCCCATTGCAACAGCAAATATCCCATCAGGTGCAGTGTTATTGGGAATGAATGTACAACAATGTTTCCCAAACATTTGACATACTCCACCTTTTTCAGCTAGGATCCAATCTAATACTTGCCTGTTTTGCCATGCCATTGTACTGGTCTGGTGTAGCTGCTCACCCAACCCCTTAAAGGCCTCATCAGTGTAATTCATGAACTTCTGCTGATTGTAGTAGATATGATTGATCCAGTCAACGTTTTTGTTAATAGTAATCCAGGGTAATATAGATTTGAATCCTGCCTTAACCTCATCTTGTGCTTTGAACTCATTTGGAATCCCTCTAGGCTGTCCTATAGCATCTAACTGGATACGTTGGTCCAGCGTGGATTGTCTCTTATATCTGCGCTTCCCATCGGGCACTTCCGGCATTTTAATTGTTTCCCCTGCCCCGTTATATATCACCACTACTGGTAACCTCATTCGAACCAACGCGCACAGCCCTACCCATCTGGGTGGCAGAATATTCAGTAACACATTTTCACCACACATCCAATAGCTGTCGGCTATACCTGTTGTTTGTTCACTCAACAAATGAAGAGTGGGAATGGTCATAGTTGTGTTTTCACAACTTTGGTCTCGTGGTATTGGGTTTTCATACCATACCGGTCTCCTGATGAACGAAGAAGTAATGTTAGCGTGTGGGAACCAGGACACCACCCAAGTTACTTTACAGTAACCAGTAGTATTGCCTACGTTAACCCCTTTCTTGTCTGACGCAAATCCACCACTGGCAAAACATTCATACTCTTCTAATTGATCTACTTTATTATTAGTGGGAGGCTCATTCTGTGTTGTGTAAATCATAAATTCTGCACATGCATTTCGTAGTTGATATTCAGGATACAGATCTAAGTAGTTGTGTTTCTTTTGGGATCCATACAAGAGTCTACATTGAACACCACACATAGGAAGTCTGAAGACTGAAGCTAACCCTGCTCTGGGGACGAATCTTCCCTCTCTACATTCATGCTGTTGTCTTTGCGCACTCTTTGAAAGTATGTTTTTCTGGGACCACTATAGGCAATGTTGTTGGAGCTTCTGAACACATTATGCATTCAATGGAGATCATCTCTTTTACTGAGTACCATGCCCACTTATACCACCCATTCTGATTAGCTTGCTCCCAGTCTTCATCTCCTGTTATTCTAATGCTTCTCTGCATTGGCCTGAATTGGCTCCCTGAGTCTTCTACATCCTCTACCGTTTGGTCCCATCCCCCCTCTGGGTCATAGCTGTCATAGTTATCATAATCATAAATTATGTTGTTACCTACTTCTATAGCTCCTTCGGCTTTCTTTACCTTTGGAACGATAGTTGAATTAGTTACCACTACATTAGGAATTACTGCCTTAGTCATCGTGTCTACTTGTTTTCCAGTTGTTGTTACTAACGGATGGCTTGGTTTTGTGCTAACCTCACTTGGCACTGTCACTTGTATCCCTGCAGGAGTGCTTGGAACTTTGATTGACCATGGTTTTGGAGTAGGAGTGACAGCGGTTGTACCGCTGCTCAAATTAACTCTTAAGGTTGGAGTGATAACGGTTGTTACCTTATTTACCTTTGCTCTTATGGTAGGAGTATTAACAGTTGTAACATTTATCTCACTCTCAGACTTTACTGGCTTGGGGGTAACTGTATGTCTACCACTGTTGTCGATAGGGTTCATCAATGGTATAAATGTTGGACTAGTTTTGGTTATTTTAACAGATGGAGTTGTACCGTTCGTTTCCTTATTTGTCAATTCGGCAGTTACGTTATAGTTTTCTATCATCTCTGACACCCTCCAGGGAACTGTCCTGATCACACGTCTCTCTTTATTATTTACGCTTATAAATTTAAGTGCATATGTTCTGTTGGGTTGGATTATCTCGTCTTATAGTTCCATTACCCATCCAGATGCCTTTGGTGCCACCCTTACCCCACACTCAACAATTTTGGTGAGAGCTGTTGGGACTAAAGCAAACTGACTGGTGAAGAAAACAGTGAGCTGAAAGACTGAACTGTTGATTCTCAGTGGGATCAGCAGGACTAGTAAACCTTTACCACTACAGGGACTCATCTGATCCACATCCACATATCACTTCATGGAACTTTACCTTATGTTTATCTCTGTGTGGACAGACACAATGTGAGCTGATTCTTCATGATTCCTCCACAGAGAGGACCAGGAGAGGTCAGAGGTTCCCAGAGGTCAGTCTGCCCAGCAGCATCAAACACACCTGGACTCCATATTTATGGTCTGTACATGTACAACTACTTTTACATCTATTGTGTTCACAATCATCTCCATGCTGCACTTTGTAGACCAGTGGATTGTCAGTCTGTCCAACATGGATCTGATGTTTGGTTCCATGGTTTTAGTTTGTGTCATTCATAGAATATTCTGTTCCAGCTGCTGGAGGAGAACATCGTCACTTTTGTGAAGAACGAGCTGAAGAAGATCCAGAAGGTTGTGAGTTCAGATTACCCAGAATGCTTAGAGAGTCAGAGGGAGGATGAGGAGGTGCTGGACGGTGAGGATGAAGAGCAGAGGAGGAGCAGCAGAGAGGCATTTGTGAAGATCACAGTAAACTTCCTGAGGAGAATGAAGCAGGAGGAACTGGCTGACTCTGCAGAGCAGTAAGAGGATTTCTCTAAAGATTCAACATGCTGGATAAATGGGATGTTTACTAATGTCTCAAGAGATGGACCAACATATATTCAGATATGTTGACATATTTGTATAATAATGTATTCATTGATGTTCTTTGTTTTTATTCAGGAATTCATTCAGGACTTCCTGCAGCAGTTTGTCAGCGTGAACTGAAATCTAACCTGAAGAAGTTCCAGTGTGTGTTTGAGGGGATCCCTAAAGCAGGAAACCCAACCCTTCTGAATCAGATGTACACAGAGCTCTACATCACGAAGGGAGGGACTGCAGAGGTCAATGATGAACATGAGGTCAGACACATTGAAACAGCATCCAGGAAACCATACAGACCAGAAACAACCATCAGACAAGAAGACCTCTTTAAAGCCTCACCTGGAAGAGAGGAACCAATCAGAACAGTGATGACAAAGGGAGTGGCTGGCATTGGGAAAACAGTCTTAACACAGAAGTTCACTCTGGACTGGGCTGAAGACAAAGACCACCAGGACATACAGTTCACATTTCCATTCACTTTCAGAGAGCTGAATGTGCTGAAAGAGAAACAGTTCAGCTTGGTGGAACTTGTTCATCACTTCTTCAGTGAAACCAAAGAAGCAGGAATCTGCAGGTTTGAAGAGTTCTTGGTTCTGTTCATTTTTGACGGTCTGGATGAGTGTCGACTTCCTCTGGACTTCACCAACGATGAGATCCTGACTGATGTTACAGAGTCCACCTCACTGGATGTGCTGCTGACAAACCTCTTCAGGGGGAAACTGCTTCCCTCTGCTCGCCTCTGGATAACCACACGACCTGCAGCAGCCAATCAGATCCCTCCTGAGTGTGTTGACATGGTGACAGAGGTCAGAGGATTCACTGACCCACAGAAGGAGGAGTACTTCAGGAAGAGATTCAGAGATAAGGAGCAGGCCAGAGGGATCATCTCCCACATCAAGACCTCACGAAGCCTCCACATCATGTGCCATATCCCAGTCTTCTGCTGGATCACTGCTACAGTTCTGGAGGATGAGTTGAAGACTAGAGAGGGAGGAGAGCTGCCCAAGACCCTGACTGAGATGTACATCCACTTCCTGGTGGTTCAGTCCAAACTGAAGAAGGTCAAGTATGATGGAGGAGCTGAGTCAGATCCACACTGGAGTCCAGAGAGCAGGAAGATGACAGAGTCTCTGGGAAAACTGGCTTTTGATCAGCTGCAGAAAGGCAACCTGATCTTCTATGAATCCGACCTGACAGAGAGTGGCATCGATATCAGAGCAGCTTCAGTGTACTCAGGAGTGTTCACACAGGTCTTTAGAGAAGAGAGAGGACTGTACCAGGACAAGGTGTTCTGCTTCATCCATCTGAGTGTTCAGGAGTTTCTGGCTGCTCTTCATGTCCATCTGACCTTCATCAACTCTGGAGTCAATCTGCTGTCAGAAGAACCAACAACCTCCCGGTTGTCTGAAGTCTCTAGAGGCAAACCTGAACTAACACATCTCTACCAGAGTGCTGTGGACAAGGCCTTACGGAGTCCAAATGGACACCTGGACTTGTTCCTGCGCTTCCTCCTGGGTCTTTCTCTAGAGACCAATCAGACTCTCCTACGAGGTCTGTTGACACAGACAGGAAGTAGCTCACAGACCAATCAGGAAACAGTCCAGTACATCAAGAAGAAGATCAGTGAGGATGTGTCTCCAGAGAAAAGCATCAATCTGTTCCACTGTCTGAATGAACTGAATGATGGTTCTCTAGTGGAGGAGATCCAACAGTCCCTGAGTTCAGGACGTCTCTCCACAGATGAACTGTCTCCTGCTCAGTGGTCAGCTCTGGTCTTCATCTTACTGTCATCAGAAAACGATCTGGACGTGTTTGACCTGAAGAAATACTCTGCTTCAGAGGAGGCTCTTCTGAGGCTGCTGCCAGTGGTCAAAGCCTCCAACAAAGCTCTGTAAGTACAGAGAGAGTTAGATTCATATATCATAACTTAAATATGCTGCTATCTTTTCTACTTATTGTTTATTTCTTCTTCATCATTGTCTCTTCAGACTGAGTGGCTGTAACCTCTCAGAGAGAAGCTGTGAAGATCTGTCCTCAGTTCTCAGCTCCCAGTCCTCTAGTCTGAGAGAGATGGACCTGAGTAACAACGACCTGCAGGATTCAGGAGTGAAGCTGCTGTCTGCTGGACTGGATAGTCCACATTGTACACTGGAAACTCTCAGGTGACCCTGTGAATTACTTTTCTTGGACTAAGTACTAAGTTTAAAGTTTACACACAAACAGATTGGTGATGACAGTAATAAACATAAACCTTCCAGCCCTCACAGTTCCCTCAGATCATGTGACATGTGTGTTGTTTTGTGCGTTTGCAGCCTGTCAGGCTGTCTGATCACAGAGGAAGGCTGTGCTTCTCTGGTCTCAGCTCTGAGCTCCAACCCCTCCCATCTGAGAGAGCTGGACCTGAGCTACAATCATCCAGGAGACTCAGGAGTGAAGCTGCTGTCTGATGGACTGGAGGATCCACACTGGAGACTGGAAACTCTCAGGTATGAAGAGGCCTGCTGCAGCCACAGACAATCAGTCTGATGGAGGAGGTAGAGCTGGAGACTTTTTCTCTGTCGCACTGTCAACCTGGTTAATATGACCCTGACACACCAAGCTGACCTCAAACTACTAGAGACTCATCAAATGGTTGTGTCCCACATCAGACCATCAATACAGACAGAAGTAGTCAGGGAACAGTAGCCAGGTTGAGCCAAAACAGGGAGGGAAGGTGATGAAACTGTTGTTTTTCTGGAGCGTTGTCTTGGTTCAACATTAGAAAATAGGACAGTGGTGTATCCTGACACTTTGACGGGCATCATGGTGGGTTGACATGAGTCAACGTTGTCACGCTGCAGGTTTGTGGGCTCATATCAAGCAATAGTTGATGTTTTGATGCTCGTGCGTGTTGCCCTTTAGTCCAGACATTATTGTGAAAAGACACAGACAAAGAAACAATCTGTTTAAAGCGTCTTGATAAATCATCACAATAGGAATGTTTTTCTGTTTTAAAGGAGTTTAGCTTTACCTGGTTTTGGTTTGTTTTGCACTGAGAGCCAGTTCCCCGGCTGATAAGAGTCGACTTGTTGAAACTACAGGTGACAGTCGGCCACAGACACTCAGTGAAGAACCAACAGCTGATTGTGGACATGGTGTGTCAGAGCCCAAAGAGGTTTATTGAGGACTGGACCAAAGTTTTAGGGGGACACAGGCGGCTGCAGATGGACTTGAACTGTAATATTTTCACCCCCAGATAACAGATAATAGAAACCAGTGTTGACTGTTGCTAGGAGACGGGATGTGAACAGCTTTGTACATCCAACCATCCCCCCCGACCTCCTCCATCAGAGGGTTTGTGGTGCTGTAGTGATTTCAGGCTACTTCCTCCTTTACTTCTGAGAGACAACAGTCATTATTACGCAAACACAAGTGGTCGCTTGTCAGGACCAAAACATCCAACAATCAATACTTCTATATTGGCAACGGATCAGCTGACTCTGTGTGATGGTGAAGAGTCATGTGGTGGTGATGAACCCACAGAGAACTGTCTCCATCTCTGCAGCTCTACACAGCTTTTTAGCCTCTTTTAGCTCCTAGTTTTGGTTCTGCAGCACATTTCCTGTTTGGTTGAGTCTCAGTGTTTCCAGCAGCAGCTGTTTTCATCCAACAAGCTGTGATGAAGCCACTGTTCACTACCTGCTCAGCAGCAAACAGCAGACAGACTCAGTTAGAGATGAGCTGGTGAACATAGTGGAGCATTTAGCAGCTAAAGAGACAGATGTTTCCCTCAGGAGGTGGTGGAGACCAAACACAGAGCTACAAGAGAGAGAGTAGTGGACTTCCATTCATCAGGTGACACAAACACAAAGACTCCTGATGAGTCATCATGTTGATGTGTAACTGCTGGATGTGGAAGCAGCTGTTGATATCATGTTAGACACAACTACTTTATAAGCTGATATGTCACATGTTGTGTTCACAGCTTGTTTTCACTGAACCACAAGTAGACAAAGAAATCAATTGATGCAGGTTTAAACATGTGATTCACTGACTGACTGGTAGAGGAAACTGAGTGTGAAATGGATGATGATTGTCAATATAATACTGATAATAATACATCATGAATAAGTGAAGATAATGAGCTGTCGTCATGGGCCAATCAGAAGAAGCTCCAGTGAAGTCAAAGAATATGAGCTGATGAATAATAAGTGCTCCATGTGAACATGAATAACAAAGGTCTGTGTATGAGAGCGATGTAATGTCCATGTCTCCATGCTGCTCTGACCCCCCTCCTCCTTTCAGGGCGGAGCCTGCTGGAGTACGATGGTCCAGACCAGGTCTGAGGAAGTGTAAGTGTGCTTTGAGTTTGATTCATGAAAACAAAGCATCTTCAAACTGTGACATCACTCATTCACATCTCTGATGTCATCATCAAACACATGATAGATTAATAACTGCAGTTGTATTGTGTCTTGTTCTCTCCATCAGATTCCTGTGAACTCACACTCGACACAAACACAGTGAACAGAGAACTCAAACTGTCTGACAACAACAGGAAGGTGACATGTGTGAAGGAGGATCAGTCATATCCTGATCATCCAGACAGGTTTGATGACTGGCCTCAGCTGCTGTGTAGAACTGGTCTGACTGGTCACTGTTACTGGGAGGTCGAGTGGAGAGGAAGAGTTTATATATCAGTGAGTTACAGAGGAATCAGGAGGAGAGGAAACGGTGATGACTGTATGTTTGGATTTAATGATCAGTCCTGGAGTCTGTGGTGCTCTGATGGTGGTTACTCTGTCTGTCACAATAAGACAAGAACATCCATCACCTCCTCCTCCTCCTCCTCCTCCTCTGGTAGAGTAGCAGTGTATGTGGACTGTCCTGCTGGCTCTCTGTCCTTCTACAGAGTCTCCTCTGACACACTGATCCACCTCCACACCGTCAACACCACATTCACTGAACCTCTTTATCCTGGGTTCTGGTTCAGGTGTGGTTCCTCAGTGTCTCTGTGTTCTCTGGAGGAGGGAGAGTCTCCTCCTGCTAGAGGAACCTTCTCTCTGCTGACCATATAGATCAGTGTGTACAGGATCACACACAGCTGATGTGAGTTCGTACCAACCTGATCTCTCAGTGGTTGTAGATGCAGTTGGAGCAGGTGAGGGGTACCTGAGCTGGTCTGGACTCTGGGGGGTTGAGAGCTCTCTGGGACTTGTGGTGTTGCAGATGGATGTGTGAAAGAGCTGAGCGAGGTCCATGTAATGACCTGAAATGATGTGTTGTCTGAGAGAAGCTGTGAAACATCTTTGACTTTGTGTAGAAAACTGAACTTTGTTGTCTTGAAACATTTGTTTGTGTTCAGAAAAACCTCAGAATGTCAAACAAGAGTCTTTCTGGATCAAATTCAGCATCTGTGGAACAAGAACCACAAGTTGT